TGACTGGAACAGCATCAGAGATTCTGAGTTTAATAAAGGAGTTGAGGATCTCTGTCCCTTGAAGAAGAGGGGTACAAAGTTATGTAGGCCACTGTTGCAGCACCAGCAGAAACTGCTGTTCGCAAGATTCTGATCTTGTGTACATAATCCTCAAAGAGGCTCCACAATTGCTATAACACACGTTACTATGGCACTAAGAGTATCAAGTAACAATGGGTATATGGACAGGATCAAACTGCTTAGACATTAAAAGGAATGTTGGTGGTGTGTTTTCCTCATGAGCTTTGATATGTGCTTGGTATATCCAGTCATAAAATGATAAATATATTGGCACAGTCATACATGTGATTACTAGTTCCGATATCTGGTAATTGGAACCATCACCATTTTATATATTATCTAGAAAGCTGTTTTTCAGCTTTTTAAATCAAATTGGAATACAAGCTAATTGTTTCAACATCCTAAAAACATTCCATTTCTAACTCCGTAATAGAGGATTCCAGAAACAGAAATGGCAACAGAGATGAGTGGTTTAGCTAAAGAATGGAGATGAGTGTGTTTCATACATCCATGGGTTAGGCAACCAGATTAGGTACATTTTTGGAAACCTGTGAGGTGTTGCATATTATAAACCACTTAACTGCTGTTTAACATACCAGATATATAGAACTTTAGATTCACTGTGAATGCCAACCTGATACGACTTAAAATTGCTGTGGCCAAATGCAGAGCTAGTGAAATTGAACCAAATAGGTTTAATGTGGTGAGTGGCAGCTTACTTTAGTTTACAAACTGGCTGCTGACAACTATAAAAGCCGAAGGTGACTTAAATGGCAATCAGTGCCACTTAGAAAATCTTACGGTTCGAAATATCTGCAGATCCTGTATGGTAAGTAAGTGTTAAGACTATGTAGTATTTAAGATATAGAATGGGGGTTGATAATGTGTGTTCTCAAATGACTAATACAAACTAAGAGCCCTGCATGGATGCAAAATTTGCATCTGTAGCTGCAAAAATGAACAGTGAATATATCCATTAACATCTCCCAGTGTGGATACCTGCTGATATATGCAAATTTCCAGGGTTCTAGATGCAAAATTTGTATCTGCATCCATACCTGCAAAAATGAGCTGCTGATATCCATGGATTTGCAGGGTGCTATAAACTAAGTGGTTCTAGATGTCTACTTAGAAGTCAAATGGCACCTATCTAATGCTAAAATATGGTAGTACAGTGCCACTTAAAGGAGTTGGCTTCCATATTGAGCTCTAGCTAGCAGCAATGAGAAGATTACAATTGTATCAGCATTAGGTTCACTTGTTCCTTTGTATTTGGCTTGTCTCACCTCAGCCAGGAGAACACAGCCTGTCTGGCTCCACCTTTCAGAAGAGCTGCAGTAGAAGCCAGAGGCTATGTCTACACTAGCCAGTCTTGCTCAAGAACAAATGCAATTGAGCTGCCATTTTTGCTCAGGAAGGAGCAGTTTACACTGTTCCTTGTGTAAAAACTTTCTCTTTGCACTTATCAGGCAGAACAGGTCTTGCACAAGAGGGAGCAGTGTATACTGCTCCCTCTTGCACCAAAGCCCCTTGCGCAAAAATGGTTGCTCATTAAGTGTGCAAATGAGGCGTGGTGATATTCACCGCTGCACCTCATTCGCATATGTTCTTGAGAAGACTGGACAGTGTAGATGTAGCCAGAGAGTATTAAAAGCAGCCATATTTAAGGATTGTATTACCGGGGGTGGGAGCACTAGGGGTATGTCTACACTTGCTCCCTAGTTCAAGCTAGGGATGCAAATGTAGGCGACCGAAATTGCTAATGAAGAGGGGATTTAAATATTCCACGCTTCATTAGCATGATCTCGCCCGTGTGTTATTCCGCTCAACAGCTGACTCGAACCAGGAAGCGCGCACTGGGACACGTTAGTTTGAACCAAACCCCTTGGTTCGAACTAACATTACTCTTCATTTTTTTTGCATCAATTTCTGCAGTTCACAAGCTTTCATTAAATTCTGAGTTCATAGCTATTGAGTATAAACTCAATCACAGCTATATCAAGTAAATTTTTTGTTCTGCTAAGTCTGCCAACCGGAACTTACGTTGATGAGACCCTTTTGATATTCAGTATCTAGTTTACAGCCATTACGTTCCTAATCATATTGGTGTTTGTGCTCCTTATTTGGGAAGGCCATGAGCAGGTAGTGGTCTTGTAGAAAGATAGCTAATCCTTAATTACCTGCAGGATGGGTGGGTTGTTTGTCTCTGTGGTTATATCTTAATTGGTTTTTTCTCTCTTTTATTAAAAAAAAAAAAAAAAAGCCACCTCTTTTAAGCCAAGGAGATTTTTGGATAGGGTGAAGAAACAAACCTCATATGTTCCAATGAATAGGGTGGAACTTTATTCATGTTGTCTATACTTAAACTGGTTGATGTGTAGCTGGAAGGATATGGGGGTTAGATTTTTTTTTTTATTTAAATCTGTGGATCTGCTATATGCCCAGCAATTGAGATGCCTCTAGAAGAAATCCTGACATTGTTTCTAGATGTTATTGGTGGAAAGCCCTTCTTGTAACAATCTGCTAGATAGTTATCTAGTGGTAGGTGGCTACCTCTACAAAAATTTTTAGCTTAACTTTGACACCCCCACCCCTTCCATTCTTTCTTTTCTCTTTTTTAAATAGGTAGACTGAGAACTGCAAAGCATTATGTGTATTAATATTGTAGTTTGGGCACAAAGCGGATCCCTGCAATATAAGACTTGACAATAAAATAAGCATGAAATAACTGAAATGGTCTTTTGAGATTACACTTCTACATCTTTCAAGTATCCCTTCTTGTGCACGTATGCTCATTTGTTCCAAAGCAGTATTAATGGTATCCTTACTAGGAATGTAAAATCCTGTTTTAATTGGTTAACCAATAAAAGGGGGAACGGGGGACTCCAGCCTGGCTGGAGTACCCCCACCCCTCCTGCTGTTGGGCTGGGGTGAGCTCCCCTCACCGCAGACACGGGCTGCACTGGCCAGGCTGGAATAATCCCTCCCTGTGGAGCATCCACCTGCCTGTGGCAGGTGAGAAGCTGCTCCAGCCCCTTCTGGTTAATCTTAAATGGTAGTAAATCACATCCCTAATCCTTACAACTTTGTTGCCAAACAATGGAGTATACCATAGGATGTATTAACTTACAACAGTGGTTCGGTCTGTGATGGTTTTGCAGGTGGGCCATGGGCTTGGGTCTCATACCCTCCCCCCTGTAATGGGGAGCCTGTGCTGGTACTCCATCCTGGACAGACGGACACACACACACCCCGCACCTCAAGCATCAGTACTGGCTTCCCACTGGAGGGAGGGAAAGCTTGCAGGCCAGGTCTGGCTTGTGGGGGAAGGAAGCATCTCTATGTGCTGCTGTCCCATCCTCCCCACCCCCCGCCCCCAAGTAGGGGCACCTCAGTGCAGAAATTTGCTAACCTGGATGCTTTCCCACTGGCTGGAATCACAGCTAATGGAAGTAGCAGGGAACAGTGCCTAGGAGCCGTGGAATGCACTGATCCAGGTTAGTCTTCTTCCCTCCCCCTCCCCCCATTCCTTCTGCCCCCAATTCTCCTCATGCCCAGGGCCCACACTCCTATCACCTTTGTGCACTTCCCCTCCTGACAAGACACTGCACCCCACCTCCCCCACTGCTCCTGTACCCTACCTCCCAGCCCAGACCTGTACCCCATCTTGCACCCATTTTTGTCGTCTTAGGTGGTTGGCTCGTGGTCCACGGAAAGGGCTGCAGCCCAAAACATTTGAGCCACTGACTTAAGCATAAAGGAAGTGTAGTGGTCAGGAATAATGCTACTGGAGCCAGGAATAAAGCAGCAGTAGACCCTGTTGTGCGTTGTTTATAACTAATAAAAAGAGTGGCTTTTGTTTAATGATGGCTAATGCAGATATAAATCCCTGAAATTGACACAGTACATCAATTCTAAAATGAAGTCCTTGTTTCAGTTTTAGACCTCTTGTCAGTGGACTCCCCATGTAGCTGACTTCCGTATTCAGTGTTGAAGTACATCTGTTCATCTTGCAACATTAAAGTTGTCTAATGAAGGATAATCTTCCTATCTTTTAAAATGCCATATTTTTTTTTAAACAGTTTGTCATGTTTCTTCTTGCATACTTAAATTCAAAACTTCCATTTGGAATATGGTATGGAACAGGTACTGTTTCACAATAGCTCTACTAAATGGGAATTAGTTATGCCTGCACTCAAAGCACATATATTATAATAGTAAGTCATCTGGCTTTGCCTTCTTGAAAAGATGTGAATTCCGTTTGAGGAGTTGGGCATTTTCTGTAAACAGGCGAGTGTGTGTGTATATATAGCAAATATTGTGCACCAAAGTTAGTATAACTTCAGATTAATAAATCTCCAGTGAATATCATACAGCAGATATTGAAATTATAAACTTGTAAATCAAGACCAGAATTTCTTCAGATTCTTCTGGGTGCTTTTAAATGTAGCCTTTTTGTAGAAATACAATTGTTGAATAAAAGTTCTGTGAGCCATAAATTGAAGAGTTCTTTTAAAATGTTAGTATGTTGTCTAACTCAGAAATGTTGTAAAAATCTTAAACAATGAATAGTCTTGCCGCTCTTTAGAGACTAACAAACCAGATAGATAGTATCATGACCTTTCGTGGGCATAATCCACTTCTTCAGATTAGTGGTATTTGCCCTGTCCTGAGTTCAGGGGATGAGAGTAGATGACCTTTCAAGGTTACTTTCAGTTCTATGTTTTACCCTGATCTTGCCAAATATAATTTTGAATTCCAAACACTACTCACTTGTGTTACTGTGGTACTTAGGTTAAAAAAAAACCACAACTAATTTCATTGAGGACGTCTTAGTTGTACAAGATTATAAAATATTCCTGGTGAGACTAAGGTATTTTTTCTATGAATAAAAAAAGTGTCTTCAAGTAACTTTTTTCCCCTCCTTCCCCTCTTTACAGCAGTTCTGTGGTGTTCTTGGTCACACATTTATGGAGTTTCTGAAGGGCAGTGGAGACTACTGCCAGGCACAGCACGACCTCTATGCAGACAAGTGAACTGTAGAAATTCATTACTACTCCACCAAGAAGCCCCCCTAAGAGTGATTTAACCAGAATAAGAAGTGTTGAATAGAAATTGGCAGAGCATTTGACAAGGAGTTGAGACCTGGATGGGGTAAACCTCAGCGCACTGCCTTCTTGCCTCAGTATTACTGGATTGAAGAATTGCTGCTTCTTGTTAGGAGGTTCATTTCATTTCCCATTGCTCCCAATTTCATACTTGCCAGCACTGAAATTTTTCAAGTGGAGTATAGTGAAGTAGACTTCAGTATCACTACATTATTTCTGTATTAGAATTTTTTAATCCTTTCACAATCTTGTTGCATGTTTTTTAACTAAATTAATATGGCACGAATGAACCGCCCAGCTCCTGTGGAAATCACCTACAAGAACATGAGATTTCTTATCACACACAATCCAACCAATGCAACCTTAAACAAATTTATAGAGGTAAGACTTTTTTTGGATGGAATGTATATTTATAATATATGTAATGCATAGACTAGCTCATATTTAATAGTAATGTGCTTTTAACCAGTCAAATTCACCCCTTAATTACACTTTGTATTGCTTCAAGGCTTGTTGCAAAGAGTGCAGTGGCTTTCAGTCTGTGAGCTGCGGACCTTTGGGGGTCTGCAGACCATGCCTAAGATTTCCAAAGAGGTTGGCATCTCCATTTGAAATGTTTTAGGGTCCTCATATGAAGGGTTGAAAACCATTGATAAAGAAACTTTTCAAATTGAGAAGCCATATACCAACCCCAACTCTCTTGTAGACAGCACCCCATACTCCACCCTTCGCCCTAGCCCTGACCCTCCTCTCAGCCAGCATCCTACACTCCTTCCTGCGCCCCAGGCTCTGCCCAGAGCTCCCTCCTATACTGTGAACAACCATACTGTAAGGAATAGAGTGAGCATGATGGGGCCTCGGGGAAGGGACTGGATAGATCTTGGGTTGTCCTTAAATACAGAGAGTGATTTCTAACATAAAAATGTTAGAGACCACTTGCATAATGGGATCCTGATCCTGTTTGAAGCCTCTTGATACTATAATACACTGTTTAGCACTGAGTGGTACGAAGGGTAGTAAGGCTATGGAATTCTCAAATTTCTGTATTTTGAGAAGTTTTAAAGGATTACCATCTGATGTTGGTTTACTTTATTGTAAATCAACAAAATAACAAGAGCTATGCTTTATCTACTGTTCACCAAATGGAAGACAATGGGGGAGGGTTGATGAAGAGCCGTCTTATTAAAACTTCTGAAATATGTTAATACTAGGGATGTTAGATAATCATGTAACCTCTTGTAATCTTAGTGGTAACATGAATATTTGATAGTCCCCCAGGGGTAGGGCTGGCAGCCATTGCGCTCCCTGCCACCCTGCTCTGTTGAGACTGAGGTAGGGAGGGAGAGTGTAATCATTGGATTAACAGATGAGCATTAGCTTATCGGTTAATTCTTTAAACGACTGTACAATAACATCTCTAGTTTAATACTGCTAAAGTACAGAAAATACTTGGCTATTCCTTATGAGAGAGTCATGTCAGCTGATTTATAAACTTTTTTTCCTTCTTAGGAACTTAAGAAGTATGGCGTTACCACAGTGGTAAGAGTATGTGAAGCTACATATGACACTGCACCAGTGGAAAAAGAGGGCATTCAGGTTTTGGTGAGTGGCTTAAAAAGACTTGCTCTAATGTTTTATCAGACCTGCAACATTCACAAGCTTTTAATGTCTACTGCAAGTTCATAATGACCTAAAACTTTAGCTAATCAGGTGTGAGCAACATTAAGCACTTGGAGTTCACTGGTACCCAGTGTAAGCACTGCAGTAGAGTTGCAAAAAGTTAGTTTTCAAATATAGGAACTACAGGGCTTGTCTAATCTTTGAAGACTTCCTGCAGCATTTTCTACACTCAACTTCCACTGTTGAATGAGTTCTTAATAGGGATCAGAGTTTCCTCTAAGCTGTGCGGTTATGTAGCCATGCAGCTATTTTCTGATCCCTGCTCAGATTTTCAAAGCACTCGCGCAGGCAGGGAGCTTAGCTGACTAGCGCAGGGGGGTGTGTGTGCGCACCTATAAACAGCAGCTGAATATGGTGTTGAACTGAAGAGCTCCCAGATCAGAAAAGCAGACAAGATAAGCAGCTGAGATAAGGAGGCAATGGGTGACTGGGGGAAGAAGGGAGTGAGTAATTAACTGGCTTGGGGGAAGTCAGAGGGGAAGAGAGTTTGGAGGGTCCCCTCTGCTGAGGGGGGTGGAAGAGACAATCATCCTGGGTTGGGAAGGGGGAGGTAAGGGGTTGACTGCATGAGGTAGGTGGAGGGGGGGGGGAGAAGGGGTGAGTGGGTGCTGGCATCTATGCAGTGAGGTGGGGGCAGTTTGTTTGGGGTGTCCTGACTCGCTGCAGTCCTCTGTTAGGCTGGGTTGGACAGGAGTGGGGGAAAGAAAGCAGGCTGCATGGTGTGTGTGGGGGGGGGTGTTCGTGTGTTCACTAGGAGGACATTTGCATGATTGTATTTCAAACAAAGTTTACATAGGTGTTAATGGCTTAAGAAAAAAATTATGTTAATAGAATTTTTTTAGTGTTACATTTATCTAAAACTCTAAATATAACTTTTTTTTTTTAAATCCCATGTTACAATTTACCATGTATTAGTATTGCATTAAGGTCAGATCTTTGCTATGTGGTAGAGTTCTAGCTCTTATGAGTTAGAAGTAGTATGATCCTGGTTCCGTAGGATGAAGCATGTTTCAAAGAGCTTGCAACTAAGGTATCTGTCTACAAAAACTGAAGCCATGTGTTAATTTGTTCTGGGGCTTCTCTTCCTCAAGTGGAAGAAGGCTAATTCCCTACCTTTTGTACAGCACCTTTGTAGTCATTAAGTCACAACAACTAGACACAGGTGTTTTGTTTTAATATATTTTCTTCCACATGTATGAATGCTTATTTATCTATAGATAAACGTGGTATTGGTGGTGGTGCACATCCACACACTACCTCAATATTGGTGTTGTACATAAGATATTTCAACCCGCCCAAGGACAGAATGTTGGAACACTGACAATGATAAAATGCATTTAAGTAACAGTGTATGCAGGGAGAGGACAGTTGGCTCCCTGGCAACTGGTGAGCATGGGGAGTGGGCTTTTAAGTCCGTGCCCCACGTGTATGTTACCCTTTCAGATCCCCATTTCTTGAAGGGTGTTTGGGGACAAGATGGTCAAGACCTGCCAGGTGGCTAAATGGGTGATGGGTTTTGGCTGGATATCAGTTACAAAGGGGGCAGGAGTGTGTGTCTATGTAAAAGACAGTTAAAAACCACAGCACCATTGTTGCTATTGCAGGCGTTTAATGGACTATAGCAGTGATGGAAATTTGAGACCCGAAAAGCTAGTGCAAAGGTTCCAGAAAGCAGCCTAAACTTAAAAGTTGAGAATTCCCTAATGTGGAGCAGTCTTTGGATTTCTAGGCAGTGGACACACAGAATAACTAGCAACACATCCTTCTTGCCTTGTGATCAGAGTGCTACAAATGCTCTGCATATTGGAGCTGGTGATTGGTGCGGGGGACTGTTACCAGCTGGTGTAGTTCAGCACATCCCAGCATATTGATCTAATAGCTTGTGTGAGTTTTAGGCACCAGTGATACGTAGCATTGCTGTGCAGACAATATTGTACACTTAATGGGACATACCTTATTATATATGTCTGCATTTTGAAAAATCCATTTTTTTTTTTTTACTGCTTACACTGAGACTGTTTCATCCCTCTTAGAATCTGATTTGTACAAGCTTGAAAGAAGGGAATTTGTTTTAGTGATTAAAAGCAGATAATTCAGAGAACATTAACTACATATCCACTGAAGTTAGCAATTTAATTAACATGCATGAACCTTTTTGAAACTTCAGTTTAATATTCAACAGATTTGGATTCCGGTAACCAACATAAGTAAAAAAAGAATAAAGCTATTTGCATCTTGACAATGTTAGTCTGAGTGAACTACATCTTAATAACAAATCATACCATTCAACTTTATTTCATTAAGCCTAATTAATTTAAGGGGTTGAACTGAAGGATGGGTTGACAATTGAGGAAACTGCTTCACTTTGGTTAATGTTCCTAGTTATAGTAGAATCTGATTCTTTATACGGGGAAAAAAAATTGCCTTTCTTTTTAGGATTGGCCATTTGATGATGGTGCTCCACCGTCCAACCAGATTGTTGATGATTGGCTAAACCTCGTGAAAGTTAAATTCCGTGAAGAACCTGGTTGTTGTATTGCTGTGCACTGTGTTGCTGGTCTTGGGAGGTAAAAGAAACCCTAAAATAATGGCTGTGGCTTTTTTAACTGTTTGTCATAAATGGTGCTTTATAGCCAATATAAGAAGTATCCAGTAGTCAAGCCTCAGATATTTACCTGGAACTTGTACACTGGGATGAGCAGGGCTCGCCAAGCGGTGGTGAACCCCGCTCGCCAGCTGCGTGGTTTGGCGTGCTGCGCATGTGCTTACCGTGCTGCGCAGCTGTTCCATCTTGTAATCTACTTGCCCATGGCGAGTAGATTACACTAATTGTTGAGCCCTAGGGATGAGTATTAGTCTGGATTAAAATAGGGTGTGAATTTTGAAGCAGAATAGCTATTCCTGAATAACACCGTGTAGGCAAGCCTTGAGCTTAGAAGATAGCGTCAAAATTCCTATGCTACCATGTCCTTTCACAACAACTTTTGCTATTTAGAGCATACTTCTGTTTTATTTTTTTAACTGCAATCTTGTTAATCACTCTTTTAAAAATATATAACTTGCTACAAGAGCTGGTCAAATACATTATTCAATCTTTCTAGTACTACTTGACCACTTCTATATGCCAGTCAAATAGAAAATGTATTGAGAAAATGCCAGTGAAAAAATATTAAATATATTCATACAGGTTGAACCTTTTTATCAACACCCTTGGGATCTGACCAGTGCCAACCAGAGAATTTGCTGAAACATGGGAGGGCAATATTGTCTAGCAGCATTACCGACACGTTTACTGGGCTTTTAGGGGTAAATTAGAGCACAGAACAGTGAGCGCCAGGACTGGTGGCTGAAAACAAACTTTGAGACCATGGGAAGCTTGGCCACAGCAATAAGTGGACATCCAGCTAACTAAAATCATGCCAGACGATGTATGTTGCTGGACCAGAGTGCCAGACAAGAGCAATTCAACCTGTAGTAGTATTTGACTAGTTCAACAAGCCACATACCTTGATTTTTTTCCTTCTCTTGTCTGGCTCTATAATCAAAAGTATCTGAATTGTTTTCAGGGTCTTACCTTTTTGTTATCTCTTTTCAATTCTTACCATTTGGAAATATTGCCAACCTCTAGTAGGTGGAGGACTTAAAACTACAGCCACAGATGGATGTGGTGTAGTGAGAAGGAGGGTGATGGTGCTGTCGATCTCACTTGGCGAGAATCAAGCACCTACATACTAA